AAAACATTTATTCTAATCCTATCACTAATCCGTATTACTATGCTCAGGATGTGGATAAATTTGTACTAAATTATTACTACGAAGAGGAGCAGCTTCATGATTTACCACCAAATAGAATAGATATAAATGAAGAGCAGCAATTGAAATTAAAGAAATAAAAAGAAAACAAAACGAGAACGGTTTTTTACTTGGAGAAATCGGAGGGATAGTAAAAAAACAATAATGATGCAAAAAAATAAGTCTAATTAAAATAATAATTATTGCATGCTCTGTAATTATTATTTTAATTAGATTCTCAACGTTCTGTACTCTCGATATGTAGCCATACCTCAATATCGCTCCGTAAAATCGATCTTATAGCTAGACATCAAATCCATATTATTATTAACGTTAAAATAACTACAGACATGGAATTATAAGATAAGTTTATTTTTATAATTGATTCACTTTAGATTACATGATGCAACACTTTCCGCCACTTACACTAAGAATATCCACTACCTCATATCTTCCCGTAGGTGTCGTAAAAGGCGACAAAGAGAAACAGGCAGGAGATGGGCAGCAGCATCTTCCTGATAACAACAAACTTACAATAAAAAAACTGCGGTTGGCAACCCGCTCGCCAAGCGTGGCAACTATTGCAAATACCCTATGATAAGAGTAACAAAGAGACGGCCCCCAGTCCCCGGCGGCCCCGCTATTCCTGGCTACGGTGGCGACCATGGTAACGGCGGGGCTGGGGGTGCTAAGAATCTCCGCTAGAGGTTCGGTTGCCACCTATGACGACTCGACCTGACAACATGCAACGCATGCACCCTGAGGACTGACGAGAAGATCGTGGAGCTGGAAGAAGAGATAGACAAGTTACGCTGGCATATTATAGGATAATCCGAAGTCAGAAAAGAGGGGGAGGACACGGTAATCCTCGAATCCGGCAACTTGCTCTATCACCGGGAGGGCGACCATCTGTCCCAAGGAGGTGTCGGATTTATCGTCCACAAGTCTCTCGTTAACAACGTTGTAAAGATTGAGAGTGTGTCGACGAGAGTTGCGTACCTTATACTCAGAATCACCAAACGGTATTCGCTGAAGGTCATACAGGTTTACGCACCAACCTCAGCCCACCCTGATGAGGAGGTGGAGAAAATGTATGAGGATATCTCTAGAGCCATGCATTCCTCCATAACCCAATATACGGTGTTAATGGGAGACTTTAATGCAAAACTAGGCACAAGAGAGAACGGTGAGCTAAAAGTAGGGAAATTTGGAATGGAACCCAAAGGGCCAGCAGCTGGCCGACTTCATGGAGAAAGAGGGACTCTTTATGATGAACTCTTTCTTCCAGAAGCGGCCCCACAGGAAGTGGACCTGGTCGAGCTCCGACGGTTCGACAAAAAATGAGATTAACTTCATTATGACCACCAGACGACAACTGTTCAGTGATGTTTCGGTGATCGCGAGGGTGAAAAGCGAACCGAATAATAGAAATAACCGAATGGTTAGAGGCACACTGAACCTAAACGTTAAGTTCAAGAGGCCTTGTCTAATGAAGTCAACGCTCTGTCCCCCTCGTACTCTAATCCAAAGTCCCGAAACCTTTCAGTTCGAGTTACAAAACCGTTTTCAGTGCCTAGAAGACTGCAATGAAGTGGACGATATGAATGACAAGCTCGTGGAAACTGTCCATGCGGTCGGAGCTAAGTTCTGCAAGACCCGCCACAGAAGAACACAAAAACTCTCCGATCACACTCTTAATCTCATAGCTGTTAGACGGGAGATGAAGCTTCATTCTACAACAGATTTGACAGCATACAGGCAACTGAACAGACAGATCTCCAAATGCATGCGGCGGGACATGCGCAACTTCAATGCAGCTCGTATTGAAGAAGCGATCGAGCGGAACCTAGGCTCCAAAGTCTTTGCCAGAGATCTGTCTGCCAGAAAGAGCCAACTGTCAAAGCTGAAGACAGAATGTGGCAACATGATTTTCGGGGCACCTGAGATTTTGACATACGGAACTGAGACGTGGTCCTTCACTGCTGGCCGGATGAGGAAGCTCAAGGTCGCTCAGCGAGCTATGGAGAGGGCTATGCTCGGAGTTTCTCTGCGTGATAAACTCAGAAATGAGGATATCCGCAGTAGAACTAGAGTGACCGACATAGCCCAACGGATTAGTAAGCTGAAGTGGCAATGGGCCGGCCATATAGCTCGAAGAACCGACAACCGATGGGGAAGAAAGGTTCTCGAGTGGCAGCCTCGTACCGGCAGGCGAAGTGTAGGGCGTCCCCCCACTAGATGGAGTGACGACCTGGTAAGATATGCAGGAAGTCGATGGATGCAGGTGGCTCAGGACCGTGCTTTGTGGCATTCTTTGGGGGAGGCCTATGTTCAGCAGTGGACTTGTGAAGGGCTGTAATGATGATGATGATGATGAGATTTTGAGTGAGATTGAGAGGTTCTATAGACAGCTGTACACGTTTTCGTTGGAGCCACACGCGAGTGGGAGTAACGATCCACGAGCGAGTCTTATCCGACACTATTCCGAAGATATCCCGGACGTCAGTCTGAGCGAGATCAGAAAGGCTCTTATGCACCTTAAAAACGGCAAGGCCCCAGGCGAGGATGGAATTACAGCGGAGCTTCTGAAAGCGGGTGGAAAACCGGTACTTGAAGTCCTTCATAAGCTCTTTAATTCCGTCCTTCATGGTGGCATTACACCGGAGGCGTGAAGCAGAAGTGAGGTGGTGTTGTTCTTCAAGAAAGGCGACAACGCTCTTTTGAAAAACTACAGACCAATTTACCTTCTAAGCCGCGTCTACGTGCTGTTTTCGAGAGTCATTACGAATCGTCTCGCGCGCAGACTTGACCACTTCCAGTCTCCCGAACAAGCCGGTTTCCGAAAAGGCTTTAGCACCATATACCACAAACATACCCTTCGGCAAATTGTGCAAAAGTCAAAGGAGTACGATTTGCCACTGTCTGGCGTATATGGACTATGAGAAAACCTTTGATTCCGTCGAAATTTGGGCGGTGTTGCAGGCCCTTCAGCGGTGCCAAGTGGACTCTTGGTATATCGAAGTGCTGAACTGCTTGTGCAGTAGGGCAACCATGGCTATCCGAGTACAGAACAAGAGTACGAAACCTATCCAATTCCAGGGAGGTATAAGACAGGGTAACGTCATATCCCCGAAACTCTTCACCGCTGCATTGGAACACGTTATCAAGCTTCTGGACTGGAAAGGATACGGTATCAACATCAATGGCTAGTACATCACTCACCTTTGATTTGCCGACGATAAAGTCCTTATGGCAGAATCGCTGGAGGAACTAAGCACTATGCTCAATGACCTCAATAGTGCTTCCCAACGGATAGGTCTTAAGATGAACATGGACAAAACAAAGATCATGTTTAATGTCCATGTCACAACTATGCCGGTAGTTTTTGGGAGCACTAAGCTCGAAGTTGTTGACGAGTATGTTTACCTGGGACAAATAGTCCGACTAGGTAAGTCCAACTTCGACCGAGAGGTCAATCGACGGATTCAACTCGGCTGGGCAGCGTTCGGGAAACTACGACACATCTTCTCGTCAGACATACCTCAAAACCTTAAAACAAAATTGTACATCCAGTGCGTGTTGCTAGTGATAACCTACGGAACTGAGGAGTGGTTCTTCACTGCTGGCCGGATGAAGAAACTCAAGGTCGCTCAGCGAGCTATGAAGAGGGCTATGCTCGGAGTTTCTCTGCGTGATAAACTCAGAAATGAGGATATCCGCAGTAGAACCAGAGTGACCGACATAGCCTAACGGATTAGTAAGCTGAAGTGGCAATGGGCCGGCCATATAGCTCGAAGAACCGACAACCGATGGGGAAGAAAGGTTCTCGAGTGGTAGCCTCGTACCGGCAGGCGAAGTGTTGGGCGTCCCCCCACTAGATGGAGTGACGTCCTGGTAAGATATGCAGGCAGTCGATGGATGCAGGTGGATTAGGACCGTGCTTTGTGGCATTCCTTGGGGGAGGCCTATGTTCAGCAGTGGACTTGTGAAGGGCTGTAATGATGAAATGATTATGAGATTACATGACAAAAATGTAATTTAAAAAATATTTGAACTGCCGTCCGTTGCTCTGTGCATCGGGGAGTTTTCCCGCTTAAAAAAATGTAAGCAATAGATTGATATGTATATTTTTTATAGTATAGGGTGACAAATGAGCACACAGTCCACCTGATGGTATGTGGTTGCTGTGGCCCATAGACATCTATATTTATCCTCATTTGCGAATCAAAATGCAGATGCGTTGTCACCCGTTAGGACTAAGATGGAATGCCTCTTTCCCGGTAAAACGGGTCTCCGGTTCCCTACACTCACCATACGAAACACAGCAGTGTTAAGCTGCTATTTTACGCTGGTGTTCTGTGAGAGCGTGGTCCTTCCCCGGTCGAGCCGACCCATTCGTGCTACAACTATACTACTAATATAGCTGCAGCATGGCTCTACCACGTAAATATATATATATATATATATATATATATATATATATATATGACGGAGAGGGGCCACCATAAGAGTTTTTAAAAACTATGACGTCATCAGAATGAATGCTGCCCAAGCCGCCGCACGCCTTTTAAACCGAACGCATGCGTGCGGAAGCTATCCCTACTTCCTGCGTCTTGAGAATAATTACCTTCCAAATTGTTACCGCGATAACCTGCTTTTAATTATATTTTGAATTAAAGCATTTTAACTTATTTATAAGTGACAATAATTATCTAATTTTAAAATGAAAACAAAATGTTATAAACAATCAAGTTATAACGTTATTTCTGCAGGTGAAATAACGCTTATTAATTTTTAACACGATAATAATTGTTTAAGTAATGCGCCGATACGTCGCCTATACTTTGTTGCGCCGATACGGCCATTCTGATTGGTGGTGCGTGCTCAGCGCCTACCAATTTTATTCTTACAGCTTTACTTCTGTTTGTTTATTTATTTGTGTTTCAACCATACATCACGTCTACACACATAATTCTCGTAGTCTCGTAGAATGGAAATGAAGTGATGCTGTGCTCTGGGCGGTCCTGTTCGCCGTGGTACACAGGGGCTCTATAGAAATTAGGATTAGGTGGATGCTGTGTTATACACAGGGGCTCTAAAAGAGAAAACAGAAAATTATTTTGCAATAGTTAGAAGTTTTGTTCTTGAGTTAAGTTCTGCTGTTATGATTCTTAAGAAGTTGACAGCCTGGGCTCACTTGTTGCACTAATATCACCAGGGCATGGCTCTCTTTCCGCCGATACGGCCCTCTGAATCCCTGGCTGTGGGGCCCGACGTAGTTGATCGTGAGCGACTTTTCGAGGCCGTCCTCTGCCAATTACCTTTTTCACCAAATAACGATAGTTTTCAAGTACGCTGCATATCTCATAGGGTTCACTAAATTTAAGGTCTAATGAGGTTTGATTTCGTGGATTATTTTTGATAAATACGTATTCTCCTTTCTGAAAATGATAGATCTTAGCTTTTCTTTGATCAAATCGTTGTCTATCTTGTTCCGATACTTGAGACATTCTATTCTGCACATGTCTGGAAAGGGCGTCAATATCAATATTTTGATTATCCGTATTTACTAATCCGAGTAGTTCCGGTGGAACACAGTGTTTTTGTCTTGTGAGTAGAGTGAGGGGAGCGACACCTGTTACTCGATGAGCAGTACAATTCATGGCCAACTGAAGTTCTTCTAATGCATTTTCATAATTTTTTATCATTATTAATGCGTCCTTAAGCGTTGCTATTATTCGCTCAACTTGTCCGTTAGCTCGGCTGATTCCTGGTGATATATCATGGATGTCTATTCCTAGCTGTTGGCAATAAGTCTTGAATTCCCCCAAGAATTCTCTGCCTCCATCCACAATTATTTGAAGTGGTGTTCCAAATAGGTTTATAGTACGTTTTAGTGCAGCTAATGTGCTGTGCGGGCTCTTATTGGTAGCATAATTAAACAGCACATATTTTGAGAAAGCATCGATAGTTACTACAACATATTGCTGGGCATCTGTAGTACCGAGCTTGCCAGTGATATCCATATGTATCACTTGAAAGGCTGTAGTTGGCTTTTGGATTGGATGTAGTTGAGCTTGTACAGCGCCCGATGTTCCTTTTGATGTTCTACACACGATACAGTTGTCCACAAACCTGCGCACCAGGGTACTCATTTTGTCAAACCAGTAAGATTCTTTGATCTTATGTAGAGTCATTTCCCATCCAGGGTGTTTAAGCGCTGTATGAAATGAATTTATTATACTCCACTGGAAAGATCTAGGAACTACAACACAGATTTGATGTCCAAAAATTGGGTCTCTCACGATTAGTTTTAAAACTTCGTTTTCTAGAAGGTAACCATCTACTGGATTTCCGTTGTTGAAGCTGTCCATCAGGCGACGCAATGTCTCATCTCTGCGTTGTTCCACCTTCAACCAATCCAGGTTTCTTGTCATTATATTAACCTCACAACTACTTGGATTTCTGCTAAAGAAGTCGGCGTGTTGCAGGCGATTTCCTTTGCGGTACTCTACTTCAAAATCATAGTTCTGTAAAAACGCCCATCACCGATGAATTCTTGGGAGGAGATCCTTTTTGTGCTTAGATGCCTTTAAGGCATTGCAATCGGTTATAATTTTGAATTTCCGTCCATACAGATACTGCCGAAAATGTTTTATTGCACGCACTACCGCCAAGGTCTCTCGTTCGTACGAGTAATATCTGCTTTCAGTATCAGTAGCTCTCATACTCATGAAGGCGATTGCATGTTGACGTTTGTTGATAATTTGTACTAGAACGGCACCGAATCCCAAGCTACTTGCATCCGTGTATAATTCTATGGGTGCTTCTTCTTGAAATATTGTTAACACAGGAGATAATGTCAGACATTGGATTATCTTATTACATGCTTCTTCGTGTCGATCATTCCACTCCCATTTAGCACCTTGTTTAGTCAACTCATACAAGGGCATCATTATACGGGAAAAATCGGGGATGAATTTCCGAAAATATCCAGCTAAACCATTGAACTGTCTTACCTTTTTAGCAGTATTCGGTACTGGTGCCTTGACTAGAGCTTCAACTTTCTTTGGACTTGGACGGATTTGACCATTTGAAACAACGTTACCCAAATATTCTATTGAGCGTTTGAAGAAGCTGCACTTATCCGCATTGATAGAAAACCCAGCCTTATGTAATGCTATGAGAATGCGTTCAATGTTTATTAGTCCTTCAGTAAAATCAGCACTTTTGCTCAAGACATCGTCGACGTAAACTTAAGCAGCACTGCCCAGTAACGAAAACAATGCTCTATTAATACATCTTTGGTATACTGCACACGCGTTGGATGAACCAAATGGCATAGTAAGGTATTCGTATAATCCATCAGGTGTAACGAATGCAGTCTTCTCTATGGAACTCTCCGAAATAGGTATTTGATGGAAACCTGCCGCCATATCAAATGTGGTGAAGTAGAGTCCATTAGCCAGTTGATCGATTTGGTCGGAGATGAGTGGAAGTGGGTAATGGTCCCGCAAGGTATTAGCATTTAACTCGCGGAAGTCTACACAAAGGCGGTCATCTCCATTCTTCTTTTCAACTAGAATAATTGGGCTAGAGTATGGGGATTTGCTCTCACGTATAATATTGTGCTTCAATAATTCGTTGACAATGGTACGAACCTTTTCTCTCTCCACTGGACTGAGGCGGTATGGTCTTCGTTCTACGTATTTGTCCGGATTCTTTAATCTGATTTCCAACATACCTGTGTTAACTCGGGTTTTAGGGTATCCTCGAATAAATAAGTGTTCATATTTATTAAGGAGTATGCGAAGTTGTTTGATCTCTTCAGGGTCGGAAAGATCACAGTCTAGTTTTCCAAATATTGGACTATTTGTAGTGATATGATTGATAAGTCCTTGGTGCACTAATTTTGTTTTGCTAGACGTTACTATAACACTCAAGTTTGTGCCTTTAATCAAATTCATGCCAACCAGAATGTCCGTCGACATCTCACAGTCAGCTAGAACATAAAACTGAATTTCTACGCTGATATCATCTATGACACATATAGTCAGTAAACTCGTGAGTGATAATACGGGAAATCGTCCAATACCTCTCAAGTAGTTAGCCGTTTGAACTCTTTGTCCAGGCAGAGCAGCGGCTACAGATTCCCGTATAAATGAACATTCTGCACCACTGTCAAACACTGCCCGTAAAGTTTTTATTCCTATCCTGATAGTTAAAGGGGCGAGTTTTGTACCTTCGATGTGACTTATATTAGATGTCAAAGAACGATCACGCATAAAACATTGGTCGTAAGTATGTCCTAATTTTTGACAAAATGTGCAGGTAGGTTTACTATTACTTTCACCTCTTTTACTATATTGTTCCTGATTTAATACCGTTGGTTTGAAACGACATTCATCGGCAGAATGGTTTTTCCTTTTACAGATGTGACAGAATGATAGAGCGTGAGCATTTCCATTGTTTGATAAACGCGGACGTTTGTTTGGCATCGTCATACTACTATTTGATGGATGAACGCGCTTTAATCGTATTGAGGATGCAATAGATATAAGTTCTGGCACTGTTGTTGCGCGCGCGTTTAATAGTTCGATCCGTAAATGTTCGTCACTAATGCAACTAATTACAGCCTCAACTGCGTCTTCATTAGGTAAATTGTCTTTGGTAATTCGTCTCCATAGTACCCAGGCTCGCGATAAGAATTCCGCTATATCTTTTGAAGAATCAAAAACATGTTCCCTGAATCTTAATATGTCCCGAGAATACCGGTTTTCTGGTTCAAATGTAGTTATAAGATTGTTGCGAAGTTCTTCCCAAGTAGATGTAGTTATCATCCAATCGTCGACCCACATTTTAGCGCGTCCTTTCAATTAGCTGCCAACTTTCATGCGTATATCAAAATCACTGAGGTGGTACGTCTGAATTGCTTTACTAATATGTTGACACCATTCACGTACTCCAACGTTTGTATCTGGATCAAATGAAGGTAGATAAATATCATTAATTCTCACCTTTGTTTCCGATGGAGTAGTTAGTCGATCCGACATGTTTTGCATCATATGCATCATTTGCATAAAGAACTGTGATGTTACATTAATCATTGAACTGTTATCACTCTGATTCTGTTGCATTGTTTCAGTGTTGACCGACATAGATGGTTGTTCAATATCAGATGGTTGAGCAGCAGTGGAAGAGCGTTGTTCACATCCCACTTCTGATGACGGAGAGGGGCCACCATAAGAGTTTTTAAAAACTATGACGTCATCATCGATGACGTCATTATTATGATTTCTAGGTTCACTCATTATTGTTTTTAATAATAGGACTCACTACACGTATTTCATCTTAACTAGTTTTTACTAATCACAATTATTCACAATTAACGATTCTTCACTATTAACAATTATTCACAATTTATAATTAACGAACTCAACTAGGTCTGAACAGCTCGACTGCACGAACTAGAATGAATGCTGCCCAAGCCGCCGCACGCCTTTTAAACCGAACGCAAGCGTGCGGAAGCTATCCCTACTTCCTGCGTCTTGAGAATAATTACCTTCCAAAATGTTACCGCGATAACCGCTTTTAATTATATTTTGAATTAAAGCATTTTAACTTATTTATAAGTAACAATAATTATCTAATTTTAAAATTAAAACAAAATGTTATAAACAATCAAGTTATAACGTTATTTCTGCAGTTGAAATAACGCTTATTAATTTTTAACACGATAATAATTGTTTAAGTAATGCGCCGATACGTCGCTTATACTTTGTTGCGCCGATATATATATATAGCATTAAATAGGATTCCAAATATGTATATTAAGGATTTATTTTTGTTATTGAACTCACAACACCACTTAAAAGTTATTTATTTTTTGCATCAAAATTAAATGAAATTTATGATAAAAAAATTTGATGAAAATTTTGGCGATAAAATAAAAACGCTCATAAGGCGTGCACTTTTGGCTTTTCCAAACTATTTCTTGATTTAGAATTTAAATATGCTTGTAAAGTGTTCAGAGTAACCAACAGTAAGCTGAAGTGGCAATGGACCGGCCACACAGCTCGAAGAACCTATAATCAATGAGGAAGAAAGGTTTTAAATCGCCCCCCTCCCCGACTAGATGGAGTTCAACCTGGTAAGAGATGCAGGTAATCAAGGGATACAGGATTCTCAGGACCGTAATTTGTGGCATTCATTGGGGGGAGATCTATGATCAACAGTTTACTTGTGAATGGCTGTAATGATCACGATGAAAAGTGTTCACCCCTAAACATAATTTTTAGAAAAATTACAAAATGTCCTCTTTACTTACTTTTCTCTTTTGATCACCGTTGGTTTCGTTAAAGTCCAATGGAAACTTTATAGTTAAAAGTTTTGTGAATTTCAAGCCTTCTAACTATTGATATATTAATGAGTAGCGACCCGCCCCGGCTTCGCACGCTTGATTACTGAATCTCGACAAAAGCGCCACCTACTGGGTCCAATTGTGAATATAAAGCATCCAAGGTCCCACTTAAACATTGATTTTTATATATAGAGATTTTAATATAAATCTATAGCATTGGTTTTCATCCAAAACACATAATTTGGTATCTTTTTATTTTCATATAATGGAATAATCTATTACTCAGCTAAAAACACCAAAAATTTATCTTTATAAAACTGGAACCGGATTCCGGTTTTGGTTACGGACAAAATTGGAACTGGAATCGAATTAGTTCATGGTTTTGTTTTCGGATTTCGCTAAAAACCGTGTTTCGGTCAGATTAGTTTTTTACTAAGAGTAAGTTAATACTCTAGAAGGATAAGTTGTGCTTAGGAATATATATTGGCTCACCGTCATCATCATTAAAGCCTGTCAAAGTCTGTAAACTTACTCTATAAATTACCTCATAGGGGTGATATTTGTCGTAGTCGACACTATTCATCTTTTACCAGATCATCGCTCCATCTAGTGGGGGGCTACCCTACACTTAGCCTACTGGCCGAGAACCTTTCTTCCCTATCGGTTGTCAGTTCTTCGAGCTATATGGCCGGCCCATTGCAACTTCAGCTTACACTGCGGATATCCTCATTTCTAAGTTTATTACGCAGAGAAATCCTGAGCACAGCCCTCTCCATAGCTCGCTATTGTGTGGAAATTGTTATGATTAGTTTTTGAAGTCAATTTTAGTTTTTTAAAGTTTAACAAAATCAAAATTAAGATGTATTATATTGTTTTTTGTAATAGTTTTTTTTTTAATTTTGTTAATTTTTACCTTTCTAGTTGGATGGGTGGTAGTTGTTCATGTTTAATATTATAAATATAAATTAGTGTAAATAACGAAACCACACGCTGTTTTACATAATAAGATTTCCTTATGATAGCGGCTAAGAGAGAACCCATCACCTCATTTCGACTCGTGGGTTTCGTAAGAAGCAC